TCTGTTGTTTCGGGCACTTTCATACCAGCTGCTCTTGCTCTAGAAACACGCACACAAAATGTTGTACTTGTATTATATTACTAGAGGGGCCGTACAAATGTAATCCCTTCAACTGGGTGGAAAAAATGAACAAATCACAGGCCTGGATATTCAGACAATACGATATGACTGGGGAATCGGAACGAGTCAATCTCGGATTACTCGGCATTTACGCGGTGACGAAATCCGACCCTGCGTGCAAGATAGATATCGGCGTGACGCCCCGGTGTTTAGTTACCTTCTCACTTTTCCAGTGTATCTTATCATAAACAGCATTCCATTTTTTTCATCCCTTTCAAATAAATCATACCGTAAAAAGAAATGTTAAAGACGGGAGGATTGCTGTGAGCACTCCGGGCCATGTCCCATGGGACACCAGTTTACAGATAGCGCATTCTAATTGCACAGCGTAATACATTGATACGTGCATGTGTTGGATTCCTCTTACGTTTTAATTACTGTCTTCAGTGCTGGACGAGATCAAGTTGCCCGTGAACACTCGCGATGCCATGAAACTGACCGCTTGACCCAAAACAATACTAAACTACAGACGCTCTTGTGTTTCATCCTATTGGAATATTCGAATCGCGTTGCGTTTCAAGTCGTGAGTCATTTTGCAGGACGTTTTTTGGATTTGCATGATGTCTACCCAGACATCCAAAAAAATATTTTAGTAGAGGAAGACAACATCATCCTGAAAAGTCCATCTCAATACTAAGTGAAGGAAAAAAATGTTTTACCATTTCCCTCCCAACGTCACGGGCCCTCTCAGAACAAGTTAAACACATAAAATGTTAAATACAGTATAATGCATTTTTTCAACTAACAAAGTAGGATATATTACAAGAAGCTATCCCGCCATCACTTCCCGCTCATTTTATTTTGAAAGTATCGGAGGGTCTATCCCTTGGCACGGTTATTTTTAGTAACCGTGCCCTTAGGCAAACGTACCTACAAAGTACTGACCCTCAAAGCCTTCCATCTCAGTAAGATTCGTTTTTTTTTCAAAAGACCCACTTAAAGTCATATCCGTAGCTCGTTTCTCATTAAACATTCATCATCTCAACATTTGATTGGGTATATTTATTTCAGAGGATGGCATCTCACAGATTTGCAAAGTAATTCTATTCAAACTGTTCAATTGTACATTGGAGTGTGGGGGTCCGGATTTTCTTACTTTTGTTCAGTAGTGATTTCTCCCTAGAGAAACTGGCACGCGCCGACCTGGCATTTTTTTTTTAATTTAGAGGGAATCTTCTCGATACCCCCCCCCCCCTCCACACACACTCATATTTCCAACCGTGGAAAGTGGATTGATTTGGGCGGTAAATGTCACGGAACTATACCACGTGATGTGAAACTACTGAACTGAACTCAAGCTCATTGCGCTGTAGGTGTATTTATTAATTCGAAAAAAAGTACAATATTTGTTCTTTTCCCCTTGAAGGCAACTTATTGTTCAGTCTTTGTGCGTGCTCGATTGAATGACGTTTTCATTGAAGTTTTGATACATCGCTTCGCCTCGCCATTATCGGACGTGCGTTACAATAACGATCATTAATCATAGTTCGCCTTTACAGTCTTGTGTTATCCAGACAGACAGTCGCGATGTTTGACACTGCCCAGAAATCGCCCATACACATCGCTTTTTACATGCCTTGTTACCCCAACAGGCCCGAAAACAATGATGCAAAAAAATTGTGTAATTGTAGTCAGAGTTTACAAGACTGGTGGACTTTAATGGTTTCTTTTATTCTGACTGTTTATCCGGCGCCCAGGGCTGTCTCTTTTTCTGCGTTTCGCGTACTTGTTACTCAATCACATTTTCTTATCTGTTCCCACGTCACCGATGCTCACTGTCAGCGTTTCCAAGGACAGCTGTATATAGCTGAATCCTGTAGCCGTTTTTTCCATGGAACTCTTCTGTTTAGGAGGCTCTTGGAAATATATTTGTGTGTGTGTGTGTGTGCGTGTTTGTGTGCGAGTGTGCGTGTGAACCGCCAATGGCATTATACTGACTGTTGCAATCTAAATTCGATTCCATTCCAGGAAGCCAAAGTCATTCCCTAGTGAATCGGATGAAACGAGTCGGTAATTTGAATATTCGTGCGTTGCTAGACAACACAGTGAGAATCGGGCGTTTTCTGCTCTCCTCGCGGCATTTTCGTTGTGCGGTGTCCGCAAGATACGTGCAGGTGTGGCATCGTAATATTTGCAGTAGTAGACGTGTCAGTGCTCGCTCGATATGTCTCAGATCATGGAAGGTGGTAGTCCCACTACTTTCCATACTCGGATGTATGACATTTCGTTATTACCTCTTTAAGGGTGTGTAATCTAAGGCGAAATTAATTCCTGCAAGTAAGACCTTGATTCTGAGTTTTTGCTTAATATGAAATGCCAAGAGAAAAAACCCTTGGGATATTTTCACTGATAACATTTGTGCCCATTCTTGCAGCATGGTTGGAGGAGTAAATAGCCAAGGAAGAAAGAGAAGGGAAAAACGTTTCCCTTTGAAGCGCCCGACTAGTACGTCACATCCCCCTTTCAGCTGAGCTTCGCTTGCGGGCAATCTCATTTAAAGCATATGTTATACTGCTCTTGCATCACATATTTGTGTTTGTATTATAGAAACTAACATCGACATGCTTTGCCTATTCACGAAGGATAAGTGGTATGCACGTGATTTCCAGATCCCCCCCCCCCATGTAATTGTACTCATCCGCGTTGCCATGTCAACACTTTTACGTATCAAAGGCGTAATTTAATATCCTTGCATTGGTTTTTAGTTGCTCTACTATGAGCGAGAGGCAACAAATAATTAGTAAACGCTGACAACAAATGCCATCTCACGGGATCCGTGTCGCGAAAGTGTCATCAATCAGTCATTAGATACGTTCTATTTCGGGGACAGCGTGCGCCCGGATAGCAGTATCTGCAGGCTGCCCTTGGCTAACAGCGGAGAGTTGGTTTCAGAGTGCACACACGTATTAAAACTACTTTGTATTTGATGCTGGCGGACCTTGAGGCAATCGCATAAATATGGATGACTGAGCTTGTATTTCGTTTCCGCTCCACTGTCACATAAATCAGCTGCTTCGTATTGCTGTTTTCTTTCACACTGCATGGTACAATGCGGCTTCATTCCCAGTCGCACGATGTCACTCCCCCCGATCCGGTGTACTTGTTTACTGCTTTTCAACAATGGCCCAGTTTTTGTTTGCCCTCTGGGCTTTCCGAATTCTATGAAGATTTGTTTTCTCCTTATTTCTTGTTGTTATACAGTTTCTATTCTGTGGAGAATTTACTAACTGCGCCACTAGCTGTTACCTTTTTATGTGATGCATTTGTGTTTATGTGTGATACTCAAGAACCATATAGTTAAAGTAAATGAAACGATGCGTGTTACATCGTGATGTTAAAAACTCGAGTTATGTGAAGTCCCGTCAACGCTTTAAGACATATTTTCCCCCCATATTGACGTTCAGTGTGTAACATACATCGTACTGCAATTGCACGCAAAAATGATGGCGTGGATAAACGGCAAGAAGGAAATGGGTATCCACATAAAATACAATCGATAAGATTTAGCCTGCAGGGAAATGGTTCGAGTATTCAGTTGCAAAAAGAAAAATCTTAGACGCATTAAGCCTCGGAGTCGTCCTTTGCATGGCTAAAGCCTTCACGCTGAGCTCATTTCAATCGCTCGATAGCAACAGTGCCTACGGAGGGCTATGACGTCATTCGAGATGATGACTGTGATTTAGTGGTGACGTAGGCATGCTATGTATGCAGGGCACGCACCATTCTTCACTCTCAGCGTTCCTTATTACAATCAGCCCAGTCCATTTCCGATAACAAATGTGAACGCTGTCGTGAATGTGTCTTTTTTCTTCTCCTTGCCATTCACGCTTTTCTGAACTTCTATTTAGTGTGTATAATTCATAAAAAAAGCCGGATAAATTGACTGTTACCATGACGACGTTGGTTGTAATTTATGTTGTCGGTAATATAGTCGGGAGGTTTTCCTTTATTGTGAATGTAATCTACACTTGTCTGACCAATGTCATAAAACTATTTGATTGATTAATAACGTTTGTAAAGAAGTCCGGCTTTTCTATCCGGTGTCCATGTATAGAGTATAGTTCGGAAGGTAAACTGCAGTGCTCGTAAAATTAAACGTGATGTCATGATGTTTTGTTCCCGTCCAGCTACCCGCCTATTCTGAATCATATAGTCACCCAATAGTTAAGAGAATTTAACAGACTCGTTTTTTTTTTTCGTTTTAGTTCTATGCCGAAGGCGATCAAATTTGCATTTTATCATTTTACACCCAGGTTCGATATTTATATGTCACCCCTTCCGCTATTGCTATGACAACCGCCTTTAAAAAACATCGTACGATCTATGCAGAATCTTTGACTGGGATTGGTTCGTGTGTGTGATTGTTTGTTTGGGTCCGTGTGTTTTAATAGTGCTCATTTTTAGTTAGCCTGCGGCTGTATAAATTTATCAAGACAGTAAATTTCGTCACGATAATTGAAATATACATTTGGTGTGAATTTGCCGAAAAACAAAACAAACAAAAAACGACGATTAGAAATATTACGGTACACTTTGCATTAGTATTCGCTTTGTGTTAATATTTGCCATCCTTTCGGCTCCAATTCGTCACCCGACCTGAAGACTCCATAATTTTCAAAAGCAGTGAAATAGTAGCCGGGTTGTTTTGACCACTTCCCTTGTAGGATCGGATTACGACTCGTAATTAGGAAACCGTGATGGGGAGGCAGTAGGAATATAATGTTCACCAATGCGTGTATAGACTATCCGCATTCCTTGTGAACTGCACGTGAGTGAACTAGGAATGCCAAGGAACACTACTACTTAACGCGTCGCTGCATATAATTGCGCATGCGTAGTTGCAAGCCAACTGACTGTTTTAAAAAAGATAGTGAGGGATTTTATCAACAGTGCAACACGGTCAACAACTGCTGTGCTGTGTTTTGTAGAGGTCGTCTGAAAATAATATCGCGGGGTATATAAGGAGAGAGTTACCAGCTTTAGTATCGCTGGAAAGTGGATATTATGAATTTCTAGCATCTGAGTGAGTACCCAGGAATGTCCCTGCCGCTTAGAATGCATCGTCAACACTGTTATTTATGCGATCTGCCGCGAACACCATGGGCAATGCTGCACGATTTTTCAGAGCCCGTTTGTCGGGGTTGTGTCAACTATGAAGGACCTGATAGAATAGAGTTGGTAATCGAGGCAGCGCGCCAGTTGAAACGTGCTCACGGTTTTCAAGACAGTCGACCAGTTCACAAGGCATCTCATCCACCACATCACGGTCCACCCGGCCACGCACCTCCCGGGCCTCCGCCGCCACGTAGTGTACACGCGGAAAATGCCAACAAGCAGCTACACGTCGATGGCAGCTCTCGACCTCCGCTTGCACCGCATGGACCACACCATGTCGACCGCTACCCAATCCATGACAGATCGCGAACACTTCACGACTTTCCTCCGCAACGGCTGATAGCGAACGCGCCCGGTGGATTCCACGGGGAGGATTCCATGGTCGAAGGAAATCGGCGGAGTCCAGCGTCGATGGTGAGGGGAAATCCTCACCCCCCTGGTGTTCCTATACACGTTAGTAATAACACAGCGGCAATTCCACCTGCTCCGAGGCCAAATTTAGGACCGCCACCACCCGTTTCTACCGCAAGTATAAACAATAACAAACGGGCGATGTCTGACCGCGAGTCCGATCGCGAAAGGGATGAGGAAAGCTCTAATAACAGTGACTGTGAGCGGCGTTTGAATGAGGACTCATATATTCAGAGACCGGCATTAGTAAGACAGACATTAGCATCCTTATCCAACTGTACTCCTTTTGAAATCCGCTTCAAAAAGGACCATTCATTGGTCGGAAGAGTGTTTTCTTTCGATGCCAGTTCGAAACCAGGTGTGGACTACGAGTTAAAATTGTTCATTGAATATCCGCTTGGCTCGAACAATGTTTTCTCTAGCGCGTCTGGAGTAGCAAAGCAGATGTATCAGGATTGCATGAAAGACTTCGGAAAGGGGCTATCGTCAGGTTTCAAATATCTAGAATATGAAAAGAAACACGGAAGTGGTGATTGGCGCATTTTGGGCGATTTACTACCGGAGGCTGTGAGATTTTTCAAGGAGTCTCTGAACCCCGAAATGCTACCGCAACCATATATTGATGCTAGTTATCCCATGCTACCCACCACCACAAATGCTACCATCTCTCGCCAGATAAACAAAGTGAAGAAACGAAAATCATCCCCAGGACCTGATGGTGACCAGGATGGCAAAATGAATGATGAGCAACACCAGCGTCAACAATGGATTCAAAACCAGGCTGAGGCGCTGAAACTTACTATGGCATCCACTGGTTATAATGAGCATTCCGGCCCTCCCAGCTCATCAGTCTCCCCCATCAGCAACCCTACTTCTGGCACCCCACCGGACACATGTCATACAATTGTAGGGGGTGGACCCTCCCCAATGGCAGCATTAATGTCAGTCACTGATAACTTAGTTACTCCAATTTCACCAGGGAAAATAGGTCTAGGCCACCCCTCGATTGTTGGACACCTGTCCAATGTAGGCAGCAGTACACACGGACATTTGAATCCACCCTCCCCTAGTACAGCGCAGAGACGGTCTCTCTACCGGAACAAAGAACTCGGACTCTCAGCAGACGCCAGCATCAGCTCTAATTTGCCGGATTCCTCCGTCACTAACCATACCTTAAAATGTACTATATGTCATGAACGTCTGGAGGACACCCATTTTGTGCAGTGTCCCTCAGTACCTTCCCACAAGTTTTGCTTTCCTTGCTCACGGGAGAGTATCAAAAAGCAGGGCACTGCCGGGGAGGTCTATTGTCCAAGCGGGCAAAAATGCCCCCTGGTTGGCACAAGCACACCCTGGGCATTTATGCAAGGGGAAATTGCTACAATATTAGGGGATGATATCAAAGTTAAAAAAGAAAGGGAAGTCTAGTCTGATACTCAGTAAGTAATTTTAAACAAAAAAAAATAATAGGCAGCTGTCTCCAGTATTTTAAATTTGATTGTATAAAATAACTACTTGGCTTTTAATACAGTATGAAAAACAAATCATCAGAAAGTATATAATAAGCACAGAAGCATATGAATTAATTATTGCCCAGTAGGTATTATACTTGCAAAATAGCTTCATTTCAAACATATATATCTCTAATATCTTGCTTCACTGGATCCTGAAACCTGTAGCTATTAAATCTTTTTTGGTGAGACTTAAATTTTGTTTTCATCTTTATTCAGTAATAAATATTTTTGTTTTTATCTGGAGAATACCTTCATCTAAAATGTGAAGACAAATTTTGTCTGTTTGCCTGCTATTTGTTATTATTCTATTCTATCTTATCTTTACAACAGTTCCATTCAGGCACATACATAATTCAGCAATGAAAGATGGAATGAGATTGTAGAGAAGAGAGGGGGTTCTTCTGGGATTATTAATGAGTATTGTCAGCTGCTCTAGAGGGTGGGAATGAATTGAGAAAAGTCTGTGCATGGTTTGCCAGTGTGACCGCATATCTGGTTACCAGTTAGATAGTAACTAAAGACTTTCAACAAAACCTTGGGTAACTTTAGCTTCTTAAATAGAGCTTTAATATATGCAGTGAAGTTTTTGGTGGTAAGGCATAATGTAAGCAGGTGGGATAACAACACTTTGGGTTTATTAACCTCCTTTTATTGGGGAAATTGATTCATTATTAAACCAGACCAGACAATTTCTTTTTTTTAATTTAATCAATATATGAAATGTATATGATATTGAGATATGTATTTTTTGTTTTCTTTATATGTAAATACATTGGAATCCCATAGCTGTGTTTACAGGCTTTTACTCCTTTTGGGAGGCAGTTTGGGGGGGAGGGTGGAAATTGAGTTAGACCTTGTTAGCTGAGTGTGTGAATTGTTTTTTGATCTGTAGCACCAGCATGTGACCCCATTGTGGAAAGGTCAATATGCGAATCAGAGATAGACTTGAAATGTTGTGTGATGTCACAGCCTAGTTATCTGAGTCATGTGATAGCCAGGACTGACCATTATTTGTAGGGGCGTTGCAATCAGATGTATTCCACAAAGTAATTTTTTCCTTTTTCAAAATAACATGTTTTTGAAATAGACTGATTACTGCGAAATTTGAAGCAAAAATGGTGCAGGCAGAAGCCATGATGAATTGTTCGCATATAATATATTGGCTTGCTCCTCGCTTTCCCCCCTGCGGTGAATAATGGTCAATTCTTGCAGTCAGTGTAGACAGCTTTGTTGTTGCCAACAGTTTTCGCTCCCTCCCCATTGAGTCCTAAATCTTTGTATCAGCTTGCAGGCTGTATATAGAAGTAACAATATAGCTCTTTGCCATATCTCATTCACAACTTTAATAGCTTAACTGCGTACTGAGGCAGTAGGTACTATTACCCTCCAGGCTATTTTGGCCGCAATAATAATGTCTAGCTGTATCCCCTTGCACCAAACCCTATTCGTAGCTTGTTGTTATTCAAATTGTGTGGGGCTTGGCCTTTTTTGAAATGATTGATTTTTTCCTGTTTGTAATGGTAGCTCTGGGCAGGGTGCCACCGCCCCTTGTCGTTTTGGACCCCATTAATGATGAATCTTTCTGTCTTGGCATTTTTCTCTTGTTAGTGATGTGTCAGCTATGTCCGTATCCAGGGGGCATTTCTCACAAAATGCCACTTGTTAGTTCCTCCACTTTTGTTTGCTTGTTTGTCTTGACGGCCATTAATTTCCGTCACTCTGACATTCAGCGTCTCTATTTTTGGAAATGAAGTTTAAAAAGGAAGAGCAAAAAAATATATTGAATATATATATATATAAATATTGAATCAGCTGCCAGTAGCCTTTTATGTCAAGGCACTTCTATTTTTAGTGTCTGGGACAAGAAAAACATATCTATTGTCCTTATATGTATAATGATAAAACTCTGGATGCATGTGATGCTGTACAAACACTTGGCCAAATGTTGCTCTGTATAAATTGCAGCTTCCCATATAGACTCACATCACACAGTCATTGTAACCCTAACTGTAAGAGTTCTTGCAATCTGATACATTTCATGTAAACACAGAAAAATTTCAAAGTTAAAAAAAAAAAAAATTAATAATAGTGGTGTTAACTACCCTAAGAGGAGTTTGATATGCAGAACTAAAAAAAAAAAATGTATCCCTGCTGCGAAGGAAATAAACAGTGTTTGAAAGCAGCTCGTAATGTTAACTATCAGTATTTGGCTTAAGTGATAACATGTATCTGACTGTTACATATGTTGTGCATTCCTGCAATAGTCCATCTGATACCCATTGTAATTCTCTACACTACTGGTGATCTTTGTCTAATTAGAATGCAGCCCCATACTGACTGATGAAGGCTGGTCTTGTATGGCTGGTGACTAGCTTGTTTTACATCTACCTATCTTTACAATTGTTTTCTACAGATGCTGTAAATGTAAGAAAAATCTTGTCTCCTCCCCCTCTGGAATAAATGAATAAAATGATTTATTTGTCAACCTTATCTATGTTTTCTCTATTTTTTTTTTATAGTATAAATCCGTTGTTTTACAGCCATGATTCCTACAATGAATTTTTATAATTAATATATTTCCTAAACTTCATGATGAACATGTGTATCTCGGCAACTGGCTGGTCTGCAACTTGGAAACAATTGAATTTATATTGCTAGTTAAGCATTAGTGAAAATATTTTTTTTCTCCTTGAAGAAATGCTCATTTTGGGTTGATAGTGTTCAGCTGGGTGCTACATATTATATATAAACTGAGTCTGAGATTTGTTTTTATTGTCCCCCTCTGCTGTATGTCATGTCGTGATTGATTTTCAAACTGTGTTGTAGTGTCTCAGTCCTGTCAAGTGACCTACATCCAATAAATCTTGTTAGTCTCCTGCCAACCACTGGAGATTACATGCGCACACATATATGGTGTGAAACCTACAAATATTCAACATGGCTTGTCCACCATACTGCACAAAATAAACCAACTCCACATTCACCGCTCCCCACCCTCACCCACCACAATTCACTCACTACCCCTAACTCCTTATCTTATCCCAAACAAAACAAATTATTCTAGTCGATTATTGTCACTCAATCAACTCAGAATGTTTTTATTAAAGCAGCAATATCGGGTGAAAATAAAATCAATTCCAAACGATTTATTTATCTTTCTCATTCTTGCCAGTGCTTGTTGCCTGCAGGCATCGATAACGTTACCCTGTGTCTTGGTGACATCTATTTTCCTGCTTTTATTGTTTAGCTTAACAGCGTCAGGTATTGGTGTTTCTACGGCAACTCTGACTGTCCAGGCAGTAATGTATTTTGCCAAACAATGTGACTAATGGTAGTACCGTACATTGAACATAACCCCCCCCCTCCATGCACAGTCCTGTCTGCCCCCTTAATTCCCATATATTTCAGTGATTCAGAATTACTGAAAACATGACAATCGTTAATAGTCGCTAATGTAATTGATGATGTACCAGCAATTGTATGTTATTAAAACAGCCAATCCTCTCTCTCCCCGAACCCATGGCTACTGTATTCTCTCTATTAGAAGTGCAATGCCAATAGAAATGCTCATAAACTAATATTTGCATTTATTGTGTGCTTAATTTATTATTTTGCCTATAGTCACTACTACCATGCTACACTAAACCCCCACCCCCACCCCTGTTACCACAATATGAATATTTTCAGTTTCTAAATTACTGTAGAAGCGTTAATTATTCACTAAGTTTTAACTTCGCTGACTGGAAAATGCACTAAATTAAAACCCAGTGAATATGTAAAATTTAGCATAGAACACATTATCTAAATGATAAAATCGTGAATTTAAAACCCACTGAATATGCATGAAATGGTAAATCAGCGAAATTTAAACCCAGTAAAAATTAATCATTTTACAGTAGTTTTTGGATAAAATGGACATAATTCCCCCTTAGCTACATGTCTTGATAAAATATGCAATTAATTATTACGCAAATTTATTTTGTGAAATGTAACAAGAGTTGCCTTTGGCTTCAAAAAGGTTATACATTTTTTCTTAGAATTCATTCATGATATTCAACATTTTAGTCATTTCAGGAAATTCCTATCTTTCTTTTGCTTCTTGGATGATACCTTGCTGCACAGCTTCCCTCTATCATAAAACTCTCCATGATAATGATAATGACAATTGAGAAAATCTGAACATTAAGAGGTTTTTTTAAATTTACCATCTGTAGCTTTTGAACCCGTTTCTCACAATAAATGACTTTCTCTTTTCCCGACAGTTATATAAAATGTTGCAAAAATTTTCCTGAGCCAGGTGATCACAAGAAAGAACTTTTCAAATTTCGAAAAAGTGTGTTCATCCACCCACATGTTAAACAGTAAAATGCATTTTGTCTTATTAAATCTCTGAAAAAAAAGGCATCTTGATTTCAAGAGACGACAACGGAGTGGATAAAAGAAGCATTGATAATCAATCTTTCATGCCTCCCTATTGTTACTGTATTTTATCAAACTGGTAGCTTTTTAGCCGCCTACCTGTTTTGTTAACTCAATTACTCATGCCCTTTATGAATAAAATGTGGTTTTCAATCTTGTGGAGAAGTGATGACATTTTTGTTATTTTTTTCACAAAATAGCTGACTGTTTTTTCCGGATTGGGTGGGGTGACCAGGTAATAGACTCAAACCAGAGAAAACCACTCGTTTCCTATGAGATCATCTCCATTCCTGATATTACAAATATAAATGCATATAATAGCCGCAGCTGCCATGGCAAATTACGATCAATACGGGACTCTTGGGGATTATTATCTACCTATGGCAATTACTAGCTATATTTCGTTTTCCACTTGAACTATTTCCTTCTATTTGTGATGGGTGTGTGGGTTGATGGGTCAATTTCGCAATGAAAAATATATGTATGGTTGTTTTGTGAGAATAAACAATTAATATTGCACCATGCAAGTCTATGTGAGGTTTGCACTGTGCAAGTCTCTGTGACGTTTGTACCATGTGATGTTGACGTG